ACTGAATAGACCTTGCTTTGTGATCCTAATTGACAAAAGAATGAAGGATCACAAGAAAATAAGGGATCGTTTACCAAACTGGAGAAATAGAGAATTTTCTGAAAAACAGAGAATTGGAGAAGTGGAAAAATGGAAAATGAAAAACTTGTTTACTAAAATCTATACTCCAATTGCCTAACTCTTTTTCATTTTTCCACTTCATGTACATTTTTTGAGAAAGCAAATTTGGACTTCTCCAAATGAAAGAAGGGAGAAAAAATGGGTGAAAAATAACCTTGACCAAATAGGTCACAGGTTCGAAGCTTGCCTTGCCCTTTGTTTTGGATTTTTCACCTTCAGTTTCTTGACTTTCTTCCCTCTTCATAATAATATTATTAATGCTTCAGTTTTTCCCCTCTTATATTCTTGGAATAAGGTGCAAATAAGCCATCAAACTAGACATGAAAATGCAATTGGACCACTGAACTAAAAAAAGTTACAATTAAGCCATCGAACAACTTAAAATGATGCAATTCTACCAAATAACAGGTTACTTTGCCATGTCACCGGTTACCTTGCTTACGTGGCATTAATTTAAATTATTTTATTATAAAAACATTATAAAAAAAAAAGAAGAAAAAAAGAAAAAAAAAAAAAAAAGAAGAAAAAAAGAAAAAAAAAAAAAAAAAAAAAAAAAAAAAAAGAAGAAGCCACGCAGACTGCATTCAACCGGTTCTCCATATCCATATCCATGGATCCATCTACACTGAAATCACTCACCAATTGCCAATTTTTCATCTGAAGCTGCTTCTGGCATGTTAATGTCTCGTGTGGTATCGTTAGAAGTAGAATCCATAGACATAGTTACTGCGTGCTCTAACAAGGCCTTTTCATCATCCTGAAATGTATCCAAGAAAGCTTGGGTGTTAATGAAACTCAGTAACTCACTTCTGAAAATTGAAACTAGTCCTTTTAGTTTTTGTCCAGTTTTTCTTATAATATATATAGTTATTATTGAAGGATCCTAACCATTAGATCAGAAGCCTTGCTTTCAGATTCAGATATTCCAACAGCAACATTTTTTGTCATGCCATCTTGGATAGTTGACAGGTTTTCTCCTTTCTCTTGTTCTGCAATTTCTTCAGCAGCCATCTTCGTAACTGCTTCTTGTCTTGCTCTTTCTTCTTCCATTAAAACTCGAAGTGCCAGGGCAAGTTCAAGATCCAAGTTGGGATCGACACCAAATTCAAAGCCAAATAATCCACCCAGTCTCCATTGATCTTCATCTCCAGATCCATGGGGAGTTGGGGACGAAGATGCTTCTTCCTCTCCATGGATCTGGAGACCGTCAGTTTCTGTCTTCATCTCCAGATCCATGGAGACGTAGATGCTTCTTCATCTTCATGGATCTGGAGACCATCGGTCTCCGTTTGGAGGCAGACTTCTCCGGTCGATGGCAGCTTACGTGGCTGTTTTTTTTTATTTTTATTTTATTTATAAAATAATTTAAATTAGTTCCACGTAAACAAAGTAACTGGTGACATGGCAAAGTAAATTGTTATTTGGTAGAATTGCATTATTTTAAGTGGTTCGGTGACTTAATTGCAACTTTTTTTAGTTCAGTGGCCCAATTGCATTTTCATGTCTAGTTCGATGGCTTATTTGCACCTTATTCCTTATTATTATTATTATTGCTTCAGTTTCCCCCCTTCTTCTTCAGATTATTATTATTATTATTATTATTATTATTATTATTATTATTATTATTATTATTATTATTATTATTATTATTATTATTATTATTATTATTATTTCCATTTTCCTTTTTCCTCATTCCTCATCCTTATGCACACATATTTGTTGTTCTTGTTGTTGTTGTTGTTGTTGTTGTAGTTGTTGTTGTTATTATTATTATTATTATTATTATTATTATTATTATTATTATTATTATTATTATTATCTTTGTTCTAGAAATGTAAAAATGATATATGGGATAATTGTATTTAATAAAATCGAAAAATTAGAGAAATGAACGAACTGGAGGAATGGAGAATGAAAATCAGAAAATTGGAGAAATGAAAAACTAAGAAATGGAAAAGGAAAACTGGAGAAATGGAGAAATGGAAAACTGGAAATGAAAAAACAGAGAACTGAAGTAAACGACCCCTAAGTCTCTCAAAATCATTAAGTAATAATTATAGTATGAATAATGCTCCAATTAATGGAACAAAACGTGACTAAGCTCGACTGTTTTTCTTGTAGGTACCATTTTTATTTTCAAATATTATACAACTTTTTTTATAACCTAAATTTTTTGACTTCCCTGTTTGGTAAAATAGTTAGCTTATCAGTTAGTTTTGACTTATTTAACCACTATTAATTGTTTGACTTGGTTAAAAAATCAATATAAGTGTTTGGTTAATTAGTTTTTTGTAACTCCAAAATGTTAAAATTCAAAAAGCTACTCAAAACAATTTTTTCAATTAGAGCATCTCCAACCACTGCATCTCCAAAACACCAAATTTTTTCAGCAAATGTCACATCAGAAGGAATATTCTCACACCAAATTTTATTCATCTCCAACCCATTTACACCAAAACACCAAACTTTTACACTAAAATAATTTTATTTTTCAATTATTAGTTCGAATTTAGTTAGTTTAATATAATTTAGTTCGAACTTAATTAGTTTAATATAAAATATAATTTGTAATGTAAATAATAATTTTTAATAACATTAATTTTATTTATAACATTAATTATTTTTAAAAAATTGAATTTAACAATATTTTTGAAAATTTAATTTATTCCACAATAATAATACAACATACAACATCTAGTACATTTAATTATCGGAATTACTAAATCGTTCCCACAAATGCTCAATCAATGCATTACGGAGTGCATAATGAGCTTCTTTATCTTTAATTTGTCTATGCCGAGCAAGAAATTCTTGAAATATAATATTCCCATCTCTAGCTATATCAACTTCAGGAGTCGGTGCTTCCTTCCAACCTTGTATATCTGCTTGCTCATCACGTTCGTCCTCAATGATCATATTGTGCATTATAATGCAAGATGACATTATATCATGCAATACACATTTATCCCAAAAACGTGCCGGTCCCTTGACTATTGCAAATCGTGATTGGAGAACTCCAAATGCACGTTCTACGTCTTTTCTACACGCTTCCTGCATCATCGCAAATAACTTCTTTTTGGGCCCTCAAGGTTCATGAATTGTTTGTACCAATGTGGACCATTTTGGATATATACCATCTGCTAAATAATATCCAGTGTGGTACTGTTGTCCTTGAATAACATAATGACAAGGAGGTGTTATACCGTTTGCAAGATTGGAAAATAAATAAGATCCCTCCAACACATTAATGTCGTTATTCGACCCCGGCATACCAAAATGTGCATGCCAAATCCACAAATCATAATCGGCTATAACTTCAAGAATAATAGTTGGTTCTCTACTCCTCCCAGCATATTGTCCAGCCCAAGCAGTTGGACAATTTTTCCATGTCCAGTGCATGCAATCTAAACTCCCAAGCATCCCTAGAAAACCACGTTTTTCGCCAATTTGAAGCAACCGTGCAACATCATTAGCATCAGGTGCTCTTAGATATCGCTCCCCAAAGACCTCTACAATTGCTCGACAGAATCTCTTCAAACTTTCAATTGTAGTTGATTCTCCAATCTGGATATATACATCTGCTGCATCTGCTGGTATTCCATACACCAAAACTTGAAACGCCGCTGTAACATTTTGTAAAGTAGATAAGCCCAGTCTACCGATTCTATCCTTCCATTACACAAAATAGTTGTCATGGCCTTTAACAGCATTGGCAATTCGTAGGAACAAATTTCGACTCATTCAAAATCGTCTACGAAACATTGCTTCAGAATATTTTGGATACTCTGAAAAATAATCATTCCATAATCTTCGATCTGCTTCTTCACGATCACGATGAATCACTCTATGACCAAAAGTCGAACCTCCATGCCTAGGGGGTTGATTATCCATATTTTCCATGTAGGAAGCTATGGCAAGGGTGTGGCTAGTATTTGCATGGGTTAATAACTGTGTTTGTGCTCGTATTGCACTTGCGAGATTGTGCTTAGAATCTGGTGATGATGATGTTGAGGATGAAGAAGATGAGGATGATGATGAAGAAAATGGCACAGGATGTTTTCCAGTGTTGGAATTCATATTTGAATTTGTATGTTTAGAGATAGATGATAATGGGTTGAATGCTCAATTTGTTGGTGATGAAGAACGTTTTTATAGGCATTATCAGAATTGTGTAGAACCGTTAGATTATATCGTGAAGATCACATCCGTTCATTGGTATGCTTGTCCTTTTCCACACATACTCCAATAAAAGATATCACATGCATCTTTGAAGAATCAGCTTTTATCTGAATTGTTTAGAACCGTTAAATTAGATCATGAAGATCACATCCGTTCATTGGTATGCTTGTCCTTTTCCACACATACTCCAATAAAAGATATCACATGCATCTTTGAATCAGCTTTTATCTGAATTGTTTAGAACCGTTAGATTAGATCGTGAAGATCACATCCGTTCATTGGTATGCTTGTCCTTTTCCACACATACTCCAATAAAAGATATCACATGCATCTTTGAAGAATCAGTTTTTATCTGAATTGTTTAGAACCGTTAGATTAGATCGTGAAGATCACATCCGTTCATTGGTATGCTTGTCCTTTTCCACACATACTCCAATAAAAGATATCACATGCATCTTTGAATCAGCTTTTATCTGAATTGTTTAGAACCGTTAGATTGATCGCGAAGATCACATCCATTCATTGGTATGCTTGTATCTCTATAAATACTACAATTCGATTTTAGAAGTAATACCACCTATCTTTTGAATATCAATATCTCTTCCTAGTTTAACAGTCATTGAAATATGTCAAATCCCTCACGTTCAATCCGAACTTCCTCATACTCTAATGAAGAAGATAAACTCCTTTGTACTATATTTATGGATATTGCCCAAGATCCTGAAAAGGGCAATGATCGCTCTGCACCAGATTTATGGGAACACATTGCACAAGAATATAAACAAATGCTACCGGCACACATTTGTACTGATCGAACTTCAAGATTGCTGCATAGTCGTTGGGCAAATATATCAACAGCGGCTAGCAAACTAAGAGGGTGCATTCAACAAATAGAGAACATGAACCCAAGTGGTGCATCTGAACAAGATATTGTGAGTATCTTGTAAATTTGTGTTATTTAGTTTTCTCTTATTTTTTTTTTAATTGCGTTGTTTAATTAGAATTATATATTATTTATAACAACTTGATAGAGCAAATGAGTTAGTAAAGCAAGATCCCAAATTCAAAGGCGGATTTAAGTTTGATCATGTATGGCCGATTGTCAAAGGCATGCAAAAATTTTGCAAAACTGGGAGTTTGCTAAATGTTGGAGGTCGAAAAAGAACTTCCGAAGGATCACAATCACAATCTTTCGGAACCAAAAAGTCAATAGGCTCTTCCTCATTTGCTGTTGATTTGAATGATGATTTTGAAACTGATGAACATTGTAATGAAATGAACAATGTAGGTGAACGTCCTACGGGGAGGAAGAAGGAAAAGATGAAGCATAAACTCTCGGATGAGCGCAATCAATTTATTGCCGTAATAGAACAACAAACTGCACAATTCAAAGGAATGTTCGAAAACAATCATGAGCTACTCCAAAAACAATATGAGCTTGATTTGCTTACAGCTCAAAATGTAGCGAACAAAATAACATTGGGAAAAGAAAAAATGGCATTAGCAAAACGAAAAGAAGATAACAAAATCTTAAGGATGAATTTAAATTTGATAGAAGATCCAGCTGTGCGTGAGTCGATTAGACGCCAACAACTACAAATTGTTGCAGAGAGAAATCAAGAGCATGGAGGAAGAGTTGAATCAAATCGTGAATTTGATCAATTCTTTGATAATTCGGGAGGAAGTGGGAGTGGACTAGGAAATTATTAATTTTACTATATTTGTTCAAAATTGTGTTGTATTTTCTAATATTATTATTATGTAGTATGTATTTTAATTTTTATTATGTTCTAGTCATGTTTGATGTATGTCGTATATATTTTAACTTTTATTATGTTCAAGTTATGTTTAATGTATTTGGAATTTTAATTAATATATATTTAATATTAGTCTTGTTTCGATCTTCTCAATTAGATCTTTAAAATGGTATAATTTTTATTTAATAATACAAAGTTTAAATATAAGTATTTAACAAAATAAATAATTACATATAAAACAATTAAAGGATATTCTTGGAATTTTTTTTTTTAAAAAAAAAAAGGCAAAAGAGACTGACAGGATAATGGTGCTGGCATCCGACCCGGATCATAAACAGCACCTGACCCGACACCATATCTAACCCGACATCGGGTGGAATTCCAACAGGCAGAACTCCAACGGGTGAAAACATTATGGCCATTCATTGTATTGAAGGGAGAGAATTAAAGCTGAGCGCCTCATTCATGATTCTTCATGCCATTGCCGTTAGCCTCAGCTCCCTAATTATGACTCTTCATGTTGTTACCGTTAGGACTTAGCATAAATAGAACTCCCCTCAGCTAGCAAGAGGAGGACACACTGTACTTTCTATACTGAAACTAAGGCAATACAACTATTGTCACTTTCTTATTCGTTACTTTATAATATATTTCCGGTAACATATTTACCGTCATTGGTGCTTTCATTGAGAGCCTGAGTCCAATACTCAAGCAGGCTACGACACACACAACTCATTCCTCTTTCAACAGCAAGCTTGAAAGAATGGTGTCCCGCAGCTCCCACGGTTCCCGCAACGTGAACAATGGCAATGCCTCAGGTGACCTCCGGGACCAACTCACCAACAATCGCAGAGGGGACCTCCGAGAACAGCTCAACAACGGGAGGCCCGGGGACCTTCGAGACCAACTCAACAATGGAGGAAACCTTCGAGACCAACCCAACAATGGAGGGGACCTCCGAGACCAGCTCCACAATGGAGGGGCGAACCAAGTCGTGAACCTCCAGGCGACCATCCAGCAAGCGGTGGCGGCGGCACTAAACCAAGTGGCGGTGGGACTACAAGGCCAAGTGCCCCCGCCGCGGCCCCAGGAAATAAGGGTGGAGACCCGAAGAAGTGGACCGACCAGACGACAACCAGGCCCTTCCCAATCTGCACCAGAACGATTGGGACAAAGGGCGCCCATGCGGCAAAGATTAGGATCACGGGCCGAGGGATCCTCTACCAGAGGTCCTCGCCAACACGAAAACAGAGAAGCCGAGAGATCACCCACAGAGGAGGTGGGCGAGTCTCGGGAGCCGACCCCACGCCAACACGTTTATGAGTCGGCCTTACGTCGACACTTGGAGGAGCGACGCGTCGAAGAGCCGGCTCCGTGACGGCACTCGGCGGGGAAGCGATGCGTTGATGAGCGGGTTCCACACCGACACTTGGAGGAGCGGCAGCCGGCCCCGCGCCGGCACCTTGATGAGTCGACCCTGGTCGAGAGGCTGCAGAGAAGAATCGAGGAGTTAGCAAGAAGGGTGGAGGCACGGGAGCAGTCGCCGGAACCCGAGGTACGGATGGCAGCACCATTCTCCCCAAGCATCATGGACATACCTTTGCCGAGGGACTTTAGGTTGCCCGCCATCAAGAAGTACACGGGGGTCACTGACCCACGCGTCCACATGACGAGGTACAAGGCTGCTATGGTAATGATCGGGGCAGGGGACGCCATCATGTGCCGAGCGTTCTTGTCCACCCTGGATGGAGCGGCTCAAGACTGGTTCAACACCATCCCTGATGGGTCGATCCAAAACTTTGGGGAGTTGTCCAAGAGCTTCCTGACATACTTCTCCGGTAGCATACAGCGTAAGAAACCCTTCTCTCACCTCTGTGTAGTGAAGCAAGATAGAGGCGAGAGCCTCAAAGACTTCCTGATAAAATGGAAAAAGGAAGTTAATAATGTCTACGACTTCGACTCCAAGGCGGCGATCCCGATATTTATCCATGCCTTAAGATCAGGGTATTTCCACAAGCAGTTGAACGCCCACCACCCCCGCTCTTACGAAGATCTGATAAGGACGGCTAGCCGCTATGCCGAAGCAGAGGACGTCGACAGGAAGAAGAAGGACGAAGAGGATGGAAAGAAAGGTGGGAAGCCTGGGAAAGCGGGTCCGCCCAGCCAGGCACCACTCTCGAACCACCCGACCGCAGGGAAAGGCCGAGACCACGAACGACCTCGCCTGGTTCCCTTGCGTAATCTAACTCCTCTTACCCATCCCGTCAGTGTCATTCTAAAGCAAGCTGAGGAGATGGGAATGGTAGAATTCCCCGAGGAGTGCATGAAGGTCTCCCTGAAGGCGGACCAAACAAAGTACTGCAGGTTCCATAGGCAAACCGTCCACGATACGGATGAGTGTCACGTTTTGAAGAGACAAATAGAAGAACTCATCCAGTAGGGCTACTTCCGACATTTCGTCAAGCAATCCAAGCAGCATCAACAACCGCAACACAATCCACCAAAAAATGTCTGGAGGAATGAGGATGGCACAGAGCCGTCCACCTTGAACGCCAAAAAAAAGAGAACACGACCAAATATCTGAGCAGAATGATAGCGAGAAATAAATCGAGGTGGCGCCCAGACGACAAAAGAAGAACACCATACACTTTATCTATGGTGGACCCACAGGGGGCGACACGCCCGCGGAAAGAAAGAAGTGGAGCCGGCAGCTATACGTGGGAGAAGTGGTGAGTCTTCCTAGAGAAAAGAAACAGAGACAGGAGGCCATCACCTTCTCTGATGATGACCTCCCAGATGGCCCGTTACCCCATCGTGACGCCCTGGTGATTAAGATGGACGTCAACGATGTCATGGTCCACCGCATCTTAATCGACACAGGAAGCTCAGTCAACGTGATGTATTACGATGCCTTCACCAAGTTAGGGATACCTAGGAACCAGCTCAAAGAAGTACGTACCCCACTCTCTGGATTTACGGGTGATTCAGTGGAGACAGAGGGGTCAGTGGTCTTACCAGTGGAGATAGGCACGCGCCCTAACATTCGCAAACTTGACGTAGAATTCATTGTGGTAAGACTTGCTTGTGCGCACAACATCATATTGGGGAGGCCGGCACTGGAGGACCTCAAGGCTATAGTGTCGGTGGAACACTTGTGTATGAAGTTCCATACTCCGAATGGGGTAGGAGTCGTCAAAGGAGACCAGCGAGCAGCCCGCAGTTGTTACGTAAAAGCATGCAAAAAGATTGGCAGAAAGGATCTACAAGTCCACACCATCTGCAAGGATGATCGATCGGGTATGGAACTCAGAACATTTAGTTAGATATTATTAGTAATACTTTGTAGTCGTGGTCCGCCCAGACCTGTAAACAATATTTTGTAATCATGGTCTGCCGAGGTTACTTTGCTCAAATAAAAGGTTCTCAACACCACCTTCGATCAACCAAAAGCCGGCCAACGCCGTATTGTAAAAAAAAAATAATAAAATAAAATAAGATAAAATAAAAGATAGAGAACCGAGTCCTCGGTCACGGGTTGGCCAAGACAAAACTCGGGTGGGCGAGACATGCGCCTCGGCCGAAAAAAAAAAAGTCGGGCAGCGCCTCAGCCACAGGCCGAGGCGCACGTCTCGGCCTTCTAGTCGAGGTGACGCCTCGGCCAGATGGCCGAGGCCGCGCCTCGATCCAAAAAAAAAAAGGAAAAAAAATAAAAGGCCGAGCAGCGCCTCAGCCACAGGCCGAGGCGCACGTCTCGGCCTTCTGGTCGAGGCGCGGCGCCTCGATCCAAAAAAAAAATAATAATAAAAATAAATAAATAAAGGCCGGGCAGCGCCTCAGCCACAGGCCGAGGCGCACGTCTCGGCCTTCTGGTCGAGGCAACGCCTCAGCCAAGGCCGAGGCCGCGCCTGGCCGAGGCGCGGCGCCTCGATCCAAAAAAAAAAAAAAACCGCCAGGCGCACGACTCGGCCAGGCCGAGGCACGCGTCTCGGCCATTGGCAGAGGCGCAGCACCTCGGCCTAGGGCCTGAGGCGCACGCCTTGGCCACCGACTGAGGCAGCACCTCGGTCGGGGGCCTGAGGCGCACGCCCCAGCCAGGCCGAGGCCCGCGTCTCGGCCACTGGCCGGAGCGGCGCCTCAGCCTGTCCGTAAAAAAAAAAAAAAAAAAAAAAAAAAGGCCATAGCTCGCCTCGGCCACGATCGGTCGAGGCGACGCCTCGGCCGGAGGCACGCACCTCGGCCAGCCTAAGCCGCAGCCCGTCTCGGCCAGCATAAAAAAAATAATAATAATAATAAAAAATCATGTGTGATTTGGAAAATAAAATCACATACTCGGGATCAACCGGGCACGATATCAAGCAAATTCAGCCTTACTCCCAAGTCAACTCAAACACATCCGTAGACTCAGGAGTAGGGGGGGACTGGTGACAGGATAATGGTGCTGGCACCCGACCCGGATCATAAACAACATCTGACCTGACACCATATCTAACCCGACATCAGGTGGAAATCCAACAGGCAGAACTCCAACGGGTGAAAACATTATGGTCATTCATTGCATTGAAGGGAGAGAATTAAAGCTGAGCGCCTCATTCATGATTCTTCATGCTATTGCCGTTAGCCTCAGCTCCCTAATTATGACTCTTCATGTTGTTACCGTTAGGACTTAGCATAAATAGAACTCCCCTCAGCTAGCAAGAGGAGGACACACTGTACTTTCTATACTGAAACTAAGGCAATACAACTATTGTCACTTTCTTATTCGTTACTTTATAATATATTTCCGGTAACATATTTACCGTCAGAGACGTTTTGGGATTATAGCGTTAATGAACAGTGCAACGCCAAATATAGCGCTACAATGTTCATTAACGCCATTCCCTTTGGCGTTTTGGCGAGACACATTGGAGAGAGAAATTTGAGGGAATGGTGTTTTGGGGATAGAAATTAGCCTCC